AATGGCTCTTCCTATATACATTCGCTTCATTTATAACTGGGCAATGAAAGTTACCGGTTGGATGGGGATAACAACCTTGTTAAACCAAATTTAATGTGTTATGAATTTGGGATAGTGTACCATCAAGAGTTTAAGAAAGTAATTTTTCTGAAATTTTGTCTCCTTTTCTGGAAGTTACTAACAGAGTAGGAATTTACACATTAAAAGTTGACCTTGTATAGAGTAACAGAAGTATTGCTACTTTTATTTTTCTATTTTTTTGTGTATTTTATATTAATTTGACCCAAGAAATTGACTTCACAACCCCATAAGTCATTCAGGACCCTGAAGTATGAAAAACAATTCTGATCTGGCAAGATTTTGTACATTTTGTATATATTGCTACCATATTGAGAGACTCTTGTGTGTATATCTTTTTCTTTCTTTCACTTAAGATACCTGTCAATCACTTCCAGAAAAGAGGAGCAAAAGCCAAAGTAGTGTTTCTATCTTGCTGACTTCCATTTCTAAAATCATAACCTGAAAAGAAACATAAAGGTTTTCTTTCAGGGAACAAGAAGTAGCAAGGTACACAGAAGCAAGGAGCAAGCAGGAAAAATGAGATGATTTGGAAAAACAATGATTACTATAAGACTGAAAGGTATTCCCAAACTGATGGGACAGGGGAAGACAGTATGTGTGTACTAACTATTGACCTCTTGGATGGGCAATGTGCTATGTCAGCAAATGAGACATGGGCAGCACCGTTTAAGGGCCCTAGAATAGAAGCTGCCTATCCACTAGGCCCAAAGAGAGTCCCAAACCTCTAAGACATTGTCTTTTCCCCCTCCCAGGACCCATCAATTACCAAAATTTCCTTAGGTTGGGTTGGAATTTCTTACCCACTTTCCCAGTCTATACTGGGATTTTGTCTGGTTTGAACTTGCATAGAACTTGTGTGTGCTGTCATCACTGGTGTGAGTTCATAGGAGTAACTGATCAGCTGTCTGGAAGACTGTTTCCTTATGGTCATCCACCCTCTCTGGCTCTTACAATCTTTCTGCTTCCTCTCTCCTCTTCTACAATGATCCCTGAGTCTTGGGAGGTATCCTATTCAAGGATAAGCATTCTATAGCCTCTTGTTCATTGCATGTATTAT